CAGTGGGGGGCCTGCCTTGGAGCTGGCTGGCACTGGCTCTGTCGGACACAGGGAAGCGTCTGGCAGCTCCTCACAGAAGCCACCCTTGTAGCCCCCCTGCTACCAAACCCTTGCAATGCAAACCCATTACAACCTTGAACGCCCTTGTCCCAGGCTGTACTCCTCCATCTGTCCACCCCAGATTCAGGTCATTTCCAAGGACTTGTGTCCCAGGTTCCCAGTTCTTTTCCATTCCTGTCGTTCCCTGTCCTGCTCCAGCCTCCTTTTCCTACCCCCTTCACATCTGACTTCCCTGCTCCTCTGATGTTTCCTTGGCTCTCCTCTGGGGCTCTTCATTGCCTCTTCTCACTTCTTGTGTGACACTGTCCCTGTTTCCTTGCCAAGCTGTTCTCAGTTACCTTACACTACCTTTAGGTCTGTGCTGGACATGCTCCTTTTGTCCACGTCCAGCCTCTCCTCTGGAGAGCAGCCGGCACTCCCATAGTCACTGTTTTGCATTAACCCTGGGCTCCAAGAACCTTGGTGCAGCTGCAGTACTAAGGCTTTGTGGAACACAAACTATTTTGTGTATTTTTATTCTGCATTCTTATAGTACCCTGGTGATTTGCACGTTTTCTCTGCTGTTTTGTCTTAAGCTGCTGGACAGAGGAGGATGTGTATTTCTGATTCAGTGACAAGAGCAGTGGTGCTAGCTCTTTAAACTACCCGTTACGTTTTTTAAAATCACTTTTGCCAAGGACAAGTTGAGATTTTCCTGGGTATAGAGCATTGTCATGCCCTAGTGAGAACCCCAGGCATGATGCCTGTTTCCTTCAGTGTCTGATACAGGGGCTGAAGAGCAGGGGGCTCTGGAACATGCAAAGGCTATTGGAGCACGCACAAAGGTGCCCAGTCACTACTGCAGGCTGTTGAGCTCACAGGTGGCTTCCTAGCAAAACCCAGAATTGCTTTGGCAAACTCAGCACAGCATGTGACACAGGTAGAGGTGTGCTTCCGCTAGGCTCCTATGGCGCTGCTGAACTGCATGTGTCCACGTGGTTTCCCCCAGTGATTATTCTTTCTTTGGGGGGAGTACACTCTTTTGTAGGCTGTACATCTTCTGACAGTGTATTTTCTCCTCCATGTCTGCACTGCACTGTGGGGTCGCTTTTAAAACCCAGCTAGCTGGGGTATATGCGACAAATATCCTTTGCACCTTAAATTCCTATTCAGATATTTTGTGGCATTCCTAAATTGCCTTTCTGTCAACAACAAGTAGTTAGTTTGACTTGCCAGGTTTAGCATGTGCTTTTAGTGAGGGTCCCCAACCATGCCAGGACAGATTCTCAATTAAATTTTGATCAGTTGCCCAGCAAACACTGATAAGCTTAAAAATCAGAGGAGGAATGTTGGCTGCCTGCAAGCAAGGTGCCAGTTTTATTATCCTCAGAGTTTATTGCCCTTCCTAATTAAAATCCCAAACAATCCCCACCACCGCCTGCGCCTGTAAACCTCCCGTAAGTGTGATGTAAGGTGACTCAGTGTGACTGGGAACATGCACAAGGCAGGTGGTGCAGGCTGTTTGCACTGAGAAGAAAAG